ACCTGGACACAGCACAGGCCAGGTGGGGAGTGAGCTCTGCGGCTGCCAGGCCCCAACCACAGGTTTGTTCCTAGAGCAGGTTGAAGGGCAGTGCTTGGGCCAGCCTCAGGGATTGGTTATGAACATTAACAGGGGCCTTTCTGAGCAAAACTGTGCACAGGGCACTTTGGAGAGAACTGGGAGGATGGAGTAGCAGGAGCTGTACACTTGATCCCCTAACCCTCCACCAGCTCGGGGTCCCTGGGTCTCCTCCCTGACAACCCAGCCGCCGGCCCCCACCTCTCTCCAGACATAGTCTTCTGCTGGTTGCTTAGCATAAATCTCCATGGACTCCCCCAGGTGTGGCTCAGTGGTTGAGCGTCCACCTTGCACCAAGAAGTCGCAGGTTCCATTAGTGGTCAGAGCACATGCCCAGGTTGTGGGCCAAATCCCCAGTGGGGGGCATGCAGGAGGCGGCCAACCGATGTTCTCTCTCATGGATGTTTCTATCTCTTTCTCTCTCCCTTCCTCTCTCTCTCTCAAATCAATAAAGGAAAAAAAATCTCCATGCGCTCACTCAGGGGGGTAGGAAATTGTGTTTTATTTTGTAGAAATCAACCAAACTTCAGCTCCCAGGCCTCCTCCTCTGGGCTGGAAGAAACCACCCTGGGCACCACTGGGCCTAAAGGCGGGTGCCCAGGCCTGAGCGGGCCGGAGGCCAGCAGCTGGGGGACCCCGCCAGACCCCGCTCTTGGGATCAGCAGGACTTCGGTGCCGGCGGAGCGCACCCACCCGGCGCAGGACGACACCCACTCCCAGCGCTGGCCTCGGGCCTACTCCGCCCGGCCGCCTGGGCTCCTGCGGGAACAACGCGCGCCCGCGGGCTGTCCTGGGGCCTGTCGGGGGCGGCGGGAGGGACTGGTCGTCCGCTTGCATGTGGCCCCGCGAGATCGCCCCTCCCGTGGCTCCGAGGACACCGAGACCGCGGGAGCCTCCGGTACCGCCCACGAGTGGCGTCTCCCGGCCCCGATTGGCCAGGCTGCTGCACGTGACCCTCTCGGAGCCAATCGCAGTGGTCGATCTCGCAAACGCCGAAGGGCTCGCGCCGCCGAGCCCCCGCACCCCGCGAGCCGGGCTCTGGTCTGGGGTCCCCGGGCCTCGCGGACCCGCTGCCCCGGCTGAGCCTCGAGGCAGCCGGATCCCGGCCCCGCCGGAGCCGCGCCAGCCCCGGGCCCGCCTGAGGCGGGAGTGGAGCCGTTCCCGACGCCGACAGGTGGCGCAGACCCGGGGTTCCCGACCTGCTGGCTGTCACTGCGGCAGCGCGACTGTCTCGCTGCGGATTAGCACAACAGACAAATGGCCCTTAATTGCCAGACCTTTAAAATGCTGTCCTGACAGGCTTGGTGGTTCGTGTCTGCGACTCCTAAGCTGAGCCCTAGCTGGACTGGCTGCGCCCCGGGGCACGGAGAGGGCATCAGAGCCGCAGGGCGCCTGCCTGCCAGTGGAGGGTCCCTGGAGGGGGCCCGGTACCCGAGTGGGCTCTGCTCTGTCACGGTGGTTAAACGTGCAGAAAGGAAAGAAACTGCTAGTGGGCACTGTGACTTAAAGCGAGCGTCAGGGACAAGGCCAGGGCCAGCTGGTCACCGCTCTGCAGCGCCCAGGGCACGGCTGTCCCTCTGCCTGAAACGCTGTGGCCCATGGGGCTCCCTCTGTGCACACCCCCCCTCAGGTGAAGCAGGGGCCTTACAGTCCTCTGTCCCCTCGCCCCGGCTCAGGACCCTCCACAGAAGAAAGCATCACTTGACTTTCTTTACCATCTGTCTCCTGCCACTGGAGAAACCAGTTCCCAGAGGAGGGGACCTCAGTTATCTGCAGTGCGTGGAACTGAGCTGGGCACCTGTCGGGCTCAGCAAACACGAGTGAGCGAGGGTTCTCCCCGGAGGGGCTGGCCCACCAGACACCCAGGAAGGGCAGCCAGGGCTGAGGGAAGGTGCACCAGGTCACCTGGCACATCCAGCTTGCTCCTCAGGACCCAGCCAGGTCCAGGCTGAGCTTGGGTAGAGGGGTGTTCTTCTAAGAGTCCCGTTGGGGGGGGGCAGGGGCTGCAGAGCAAAGCACAGTTGGCTGTGAGACCGTGAGTTTTGGATCTAAGGAAAGAGGGTGAACAGCTGCTTCCTCAGCGGGTGGGAGGTGCACTGGGCGGCTCAGGGGTACTTGGGGCTGTAACCAACCACACCACCTCCGCAGAGCGCGTTTTTCCTCTCCGGGTCCCAGCACCTGAGGAGAGGGGCGGGGCCATGCTGGCTCCCTCTCTACCCTCCTGGCACAGGTTGCTGGGAGGGGCGCAGCAGGGCCCAAGGTGGGGACCAGCGTCGCCTTTCTCTTCACTGACACTGGACAGGCATTTGGGAGGTTCTGTTCATTCCAAGCAAGTACAGTGAGAAAAAGCACAGGTGACCCAGATTTGCCACCTCCCTGGAGAAAGGCCCCAGACGTGAATGTCAAACAGACTTTTCTGGGGACACGAGTAGCTACACCTGTGGTGGGCTCTGGGCATGGGAGGGTCATGGACAAGGTCCACAAGACAGCAGGGCTGTTCTCTGGGCTGGGCTGAGGTGCCCAATGCCAAGCAGGTCCCACAAGCACCCCGAATGGCCTCATGGGCAGGCATCACCTGTGGGGTGCAGCACCCAGAGCAGCAGGAGATGTGGGACCCAGGCCTCCCTGACACATAGGAAAGGGGCATGCCACCACGGGACAGACCAGGGGCAGGCCTCTCAGGACTGCAGGAATGCCCCCCCGGGGGGGGGGGCAGAGCCCCCAGGGCCAGGTATAGCTATGGGGAAGGAGAATCTGGTGACTGGTCTTTGCAGGTGGTGTATGTGGGAGGTTGGCTGAAGGGGCTGTTTTCATTTAATTTTATTTTTGGTTATTTTAATCCTCACCGAGGATATTTTTCTGCTTATCTTCAGATAGAGTGGGAGGGAGAGAGAAACATCGATTGGAGACAGACACACTGACTGGCTGCCTCCCATACGACCCCAACCAGGGCTGAGGACAACTGCAACCGAGATACGTGCCCTTGACCAGAATTGAACCTGCGATTCATTGGTCCCGGGCCTACGCTCTAACTGCTGAGTCCAAACGGCCAGGGCTCATCTTTTTTTAAGATGAGGGTTACTCTGGCGGGGCTGTCTTAGTGAAAGGGTCAGGGGTGAATCTGGGTCTGTGCGGAGGGGAGACCCAGCTGCTGCTCCAGCCAGAGGGGAGAAGCTTCCTATCTGGCAGGTGCAGGTGAGGGTTTGGCAGCGGCCTGGAGGATGTGGGTCCTCGTGAGGTCGCCCGACGGGCCATTGCCTTCCGGGAGGAATCAGGACTCTGGAGAGAAGGTCCACACGGCATGAAATCACTGTGTTGTTTATTGGCTGTGATTCCATCCGGAGAGAACGCGCGCGAGCCCCCGACATGCAGGAGGAGGCGCAGGCGCAAGGACAGACAGACGGACGACATCCAAGGTCTACGCTAAGCTCGGCTGCTCCGGGCGCCCCATGCGCTGGAAACGGGATGCGGGGTTTCTACAAGACAACGCCCTGTCTGCTCAGAACTGGCTTTTGAAAGTGTGAAAACAGGCATTTAAAACGACGTGGAACCGGGAGGAGCCAGGGACGCAGGGCGCGGGGCGTCCGCAGTTAGTATTGCAGTCAGTCTAATTGTTATGGCTTCTCTAAACAGCGGTGTAGGCGACGCCCCTGGCCCGCAGCACTTGGACACATTGAATTTCCGATGTGGACGTAAAGGGCTCGGGGCCAGGCCACGGGCTTTCTGTCCAGATGAACTCCCCGAATACATTAGACCTCATTTACCTGAGATTCAACACATTGTAATGCAAATTAAACAAGGATGGCGGACAGAGGAGGGCATTGGTCAGCGTTTCTGTCAAATCTGTCTGGCTGTGCGCAAGGACACCCGCACCCACCCTGGCGGGGCCTGCCCCATCGAGTCCACCGCCAGCCTGCGAAGGGATGGACCGGGGCAAGCGCACACACCTCCAGACGCACAGCCCTAACCACGGTCTCTGCGTCTCCTCCCCGGCTCTGCTGAAGGGGTGAGTTAGAGGGGAGAGCAAGGCCCTCCCCCAGAACAGCCTCGCAGAAGACGAGGTGACAACCAGGGAGGGGAGTGGGCGGGCCCGGCTGTGCCCGCACTCACTGGGGAGCGTGAGTTATTAGGGTGTGCGAGGGACCGTGCCACGCTCGGGGGTATGAGAATTTCCCCCCTAATCGTATTGCTTTGTTTCCCTTCGTTTAGAAAAGGGCCATGTCATTCATAAGAAGCAAAACCTTCCAGAGGAGCGGGCCAGGGGAGAGGGAAGGACAGACACACGGACAGTGAACCTGCCGGGCTCAGATGGAGAGAAGTGGGCAGCCAGCGGACAGGTGTCAGTGCGGGAGGAAGGTGTTGGGGGTCCAGGCTGATCCGGACGGGGAGGGGCTTTCCACCCCTGCCCTAAGGGTGGGGCCCCAGGCACCAGCTGCTGCCCCTCCCCAACCCTTCCCCGCCAGCACGACCTCCCACCGCCCACTCCCCCAACTATGGCTGTGCTCCTGAGTTTGGGCCCGGACAAGCGCGCACCAACGCAGGGACCGCGCGCCGAGGGGTGGTCGGGGGCTGGCCCTTTCGGTGGCCCCGCCTCAGGCGCTGCTGGGTGGGCGGTGAACGGTGGGAGCCGTAAGGGCGTTCGAGGCTCTGGGGGAGGGCCCAACCCACCCGCGGCCAGAGGAGCTCGGGCTCGTCCCGGGCCTGCAGCACAGACCGCAGGGGCCCTGGGGGTCGGCGCGCCTCCCACGTGGCGGCGGCGACGGTAGTGCAGGGGGTGGTGAAGAGGTGGGCGGAGGCTCCCGAGGCGAGAGGGGCGTGGGGCGGAGGGATTTGAGACTATGGCTTATGTTGGCGCTGGGGCTGCACTCTGCTCCCGACATCCCTTCGGGCCTCCGTGGAGGGCACGGGCAGGGGGTGGGGAGGGGCGGCGGGGAGGGGCTCCGGGCTCGGCGGGCTGCTGTGCAGCGCCGGGCGTTACTTCTTGAACATGTCCTGCAGCGGCCCGGGCAGGTACTTGATGACCGTGTCCAGGATGCTCTCGTCCTCCTCCTCGGGCTCGTCACCGCAGCCCGGCGGGATGGCCTTCTTGGGCCGCGTGAGGCTGCCCTCCGCGTTGGCCTCCAGGGCGGCCTGGGCCTCGGCCTCGCGCTCCTCCTTCTTCTTGATGCCGTACTGTGGGGACAGGGCGGGGTCAGGGGTCTCCCGCCAGGCCCGGCGCTCGCAGGACCCGGAGGGTGGGACCCTCGCGGCGCTGCGGGTCTGGGCGAGGGGCAAAGCCCGCGGCTAAGGGAAGCCCCGCCAACGGCCACCCGGACCTCGAAAGGAAAGAGAAGTCCTTCCCCAGGAGGGTGCCTGGAGGGGCCGGGAGACCCCACTGAGGGTGCGGAGGCCGGGGCTGTGGCCAGGCCGAGCGGAGAGCTGCGGGGGGAGGGGCGCGTCTCCCTAGCAGGGGCCAATGCCGCGACCCGGGCCCCTGGCCTGACCTGACAGTCCCTCCTTGCGGAAGAGATGCTGGCCTGGGCTGCATTACAGGAGCCGCGTGAGGGGCGGACAGTGGTGAAGAGGACCCATTGCTCTGTGGCTGGCTGACCCCACGCAGCCCAGATCCTTGGTCGAGGGACAGGCAGTCACACCCTCATGCCTGGCCACGTCCTCCTGAATGCAGCCATGACCCCAGCCCCTGGCAGGTCCCTCTACGCAATGTGCAAGCAGCTGGTGGGGAAGCAGCCTGCCCAGGGGTCTTCTAGGCGGCTATCCTAGACCCCACCCAGGTGTGCCCTCAGCCAACACTGCTGGGCACCACAGCGCCCCCACTGCTGGTTTCCTGTGTGTCTCTGGCCTCCACCCTTACCCGAGTCTCCCCTTTGTGCTGGTTGAATGGTGTCCCCCTGGAATCTCAGAATGCGACCTTATTGAGAAATGTAATTAATTATTGCAGATGTAATTAAGGTAAGGGCAGAAACGAGATACTGCTGGGCCCTAAATCCAATGGGAGTTTCCTGTTGGAGAAGGAACGGGAGAAAGTCACGTGACACGGAGAGAGCCGGGATGTCGCTGCCACGAGCCAAGGACACCCAGGACCCCGGGAGCCACCAGAAATGCAGACAGACTTCGCTCCTACAAGCTTCAGAGAGAGCGCAGCCCAGGCCTCGTGCCCCCAGAACTGAGAACCAATTTCCAGGAGATGAATACACCCCCTGCCACATCCGTCGGGGGCTCCCTCCACCCCCCAGGAGCACGGAGTCTGTGGTCATGGCGAGGCCATGAGACCACAGAAGGACCTCCCACCTTAGGGCTGATGCGAACCAGGCAGGGCCAAACTGCTCATGGCTTTGGGGGGCTGGTCATCCCATGGACTAAGCCCAACCCACCCAGGTTGGGGGGAGGGTTGCCCTCAGTCAGGTCTAAGGTACCAGATCACACATTCAGGAGTGAACAGGAGCAGAAGCAGTAATGAGGGTAAAGACGGGGGGATGGAGAGAAGGTGTGGGTATCAGCGACTGCCAGGCCGCAGGACCCTGCTAAGGGGCACACACATGCCTTGGCAAGGTGGAGGACCCCCCCATTGCTGCTGCTCATCTTTCTTCATCAGCCCCTCCCCCAAAATCTGCCTCTCCAAGTCCCTTCTCTGCTTCAGATTTGGGGGCTGACTGTGCCGCACCCCAATCCTGCTGGGGGAACCTCAGCACCGCTCACCTCCCCTGGACGGGTGGCCTCAGGCATGGGGGAGGCCAGTGCCACCTTCAGCAGAGGTCCAAGAAGAGGCCACAGTCTCAGTCCAACTGTGACCAGAGCGCAGCCAGGGCACCTGCAGGCCAGGAGGAGGGACAAGGGTTGTCTAAGCCTCTTCAGCAACTCCCTGAGCGGCTCACAGCCCTGTCTGCACTCGGAACCTGAGCCAAGGAGGGCCTTGACGAGGGGCAGTGGACACCCAAGAATGTCCAGAGCAACAGGCACACTGCCCAGAGGGCCTCCCTACTGAACAGTGCATCAGGTCAGCTGAGGGTACAGAGGGAGACGAGCTGGCCACGCACCAGGCACTCTCCTGGGACCAGTGCAAGGTGCACAAGCCCCTCTGGGTCAGTGCCCTGGGACAACCTCACCTGGGAGAGCAGCGGCCCCCAGGCACAGAAGGGAGGAAAGGACATGTAACTGGGAGTCCCGTGGGGCAGAGCGTGGGCTGGAGAGAGAGGCTGCCAGAAACTAGGTCAGACCGAGAGAGCTTCCCTCCAGCCAGGGGCAGAGAGCCCAGCAGCCTCCTCCCAGGATGACTATGCACGCGGTAGGCGCATGTGTGCCAGGGTGCCCCAGGAGGCTGTGCTGCCACAGCCAGCACCCACTCTCACAGCGAAGGGGAACGTGCTCAGGGGAACACGAGGTCCTGCCGGAAGCACAGGCGTGGGGTAGGAACACACGTGTAACACGTGGTGCACCGCTGAGCAGAGAAACTCCCTGACCAAGGACGTGAGCTCAGGGATTGGGTCGTCCCCTCTGGGGTCCAGGAAGGAGACCCCAGACCCCCGCCCCTCACTCTGGATTTGACCTGAGGGTCACTCTGCGGGGTGAGGCTCCTGAGCTAGGGTCCACCCCAGAGCCTGGCTCCACTGTGGTCTGGCTGAGTCAGCTTGAGGCTGCCATGCCCCAGGGCCCCGGAGTCCATCCACAGCTGTTCACCAGAGACACTGACAACAGGCGCCCAGCTTGGAGCCCTGACCGACACCTTGCGGCTGGGGGGAGCTCGGAGCGTGCTCATTAACGGTGAGAATCTATAACAGCTCGGCGCGGGTAGGAGGGCGGTTCTGGCTCAAAGCTGCGGAACCTGGACGCTGGAAGCACCAAACCCGACGGTGCGCGAGCAAATCTGAAGGTGGGTGTGCAAACCAGAGGGCAGGTGTGCAAACCAGAAGGTGGCTGTGCGAACCCAGAAGCCCGCACGCAAAGCCGGCGGCGCGCGAGCGGATCTCCGCTCCCACCTGGGCGGGCGCCCGGAGAGCGACGGAGGCACCGCCCACCAGCCAGCTCCGCGTCCCGGGTGTGAGCTGCCTGGGGAGCGGGCCGCCCCCCCCCCAGGACGCGTGACTCGGACCCCCATCTGTTGGGGCCGTGCACTGGACAGTTCAACACCCCCTTCGCTAACCCGCCCCGGTCCTGGGAGGGGGAGTACAGGGCACCAGGTAGGGCTGGAGGAAGCTGGGTCTGGCGCGGGGGGCCAGCGAGGGCCATGGGGAGGGGGTCACACCTGAAGAGCAGGCCTCCCACCTGTGAGAAGCAGGAGGGCTGGGGGCGAGTCACCTGGACATACCCAGGTGCAGACGGGCTCTTCGGAGAAGGTGCGGGCTTGGGCGTCGGACAGACCTTTCGGGGACAAGGCCTGGGGCTGGGTCACTTCGCGGTGCTGGAGACGCATCCGCAACCGTCGGGAGGGAGGTGCCGCCAGGGGGCGCCCTGACCTCACCGGTCAAGGGGCCAGCCTCTCCTCCCACCCTGGGGGTACCTGGCGCTGGGCGGGCACCTTCCGCCGAGCTGAACGCTCTTGGGAGAGGGTGGACCAAATTCTGGAGGCTGGAGTGGTGAGGTAGGGAAGCCCTGGGGCTCCAGCAGCCAGAACGTGTCCGACCCTCCTGAGCAGCCTCTGACCCAGGAGTTGGGGGTTCTGTTTCTGTCTGTCTCGGTCTCTCTGTCTCTGACCACTCCCCCGCGCCCACCAGTACTCCAGCATCCCGGGCACAGGCTCCCTGAGGTCTGGCTCATGGCACCCGTCTCTGGTTCTTCCCCTCCCGGCTCCTGACTGCCGCAGGGCTGTTCTGGGGGGCGGGGACCTGTCAGTCGCTGCCACAACAAAATCGACTTGAGCTTTCTGCAGGTTCCCAGGAAAGCAGTCCAGTGACCGGTGGTGGGGCATCTGGGGGTGTGCCTCATTTATGTGGGGCCTTTGTGGGCTCAGACGCCTGCAGGTGCCCCCCAGTACTGCCCCACCTCATGAGGTCCAGCTTGCGTGTCAGGTTCATGGAGACGGCCCTTCCCTGGGTCACTGAGGCACAACCTGGCAGGTTATTCCACCCAGCATCCCGGGCATCTCGGCTGGTCCAGGGTCAGGCACCATGGAGATCCCCTCAGAAGCCTCACTGCACCCCCCAGCCTCCTACCCAAAGGGCACCTGGGAGCCACCACCCAAGAGGACACTGGCCGCCATCAGAAACAGGGAGGACTTGGGGCCCCACAGGGTGCTCTGCAGTCCTCAGTGAGTCTGTGGCAGATGAGGTCACCTGGGGTGCAGAGAACTCACATGTCCTGCCTCCCGGGACCAACGCCCGGAGCTCCTGAGTGGACAGTCCAAAGGTCTGTCCAGTGGACCAGGCAAAAGAAGAGAAGGAGGGGCCCACCGGGCTCCTGTGGCCGCAGCAGCCCTCTGCCCAGGGCCGGGTCCCGACCCCCACACTCAAGCCAGGCCCTGCAGCCCTGGCCCGCCCGCCGGGCCCCACCTTGTCTCGAATGCCCTGCCGCATGGCCTCGCGCTCCGCCTCCATCTTGGCGTACTTCGCCTTGCGCTCCTCCTCCTCCTGCCGCAGGGCCTCCTGGCGCTCCTCCTCCTTCTTGGCGGCGTCAGGGTCCTTCTCCTCGTCGCCCCCGAGCATCTTTCCCATGTCTTTGGTGGCCCCTGGGGACAGAGAGGGAATGAGTCGGGCAGCCCTGCCAGGGTGCGCCCGCCCAGACGGAAGGTGCCCCGTTGGCCCCGCACGTTCTGTCTGTAGAGGGAGGTGGATGTGGGGGGGGGGGGTGCACAGGGTGTTAGCGGAGAGGCGGCCTGTGTGTGTGACGGTGCTGCAGTCGTATCTGTGTGTGTGTGTGTGTGTGTGTGTGCGCGCGCGCGCACACACGTCTCCGTGAGCCCCTGGAGTGGACTGGCGTGTGTCCCCTTTGGGCCCTATGTCCAGCCAAGGCTCAGCCCCTGGAAGGTGTTGGAGGGGTGGGTCGAGGGGCAGGCCCATCTGCTGAGGCTCAGCACCAAGCTCCTAATCTTCCCCCGGCACCCGTCACCACTTTGCTCTTGAGTTCCTGGTTCACAGGCAGCCACAAACACCTCCCCAGACTCCCCTGTGACTCGGCCCACAGGACAGAGCCCTGTCGTGACAGCCTCGGATCTGGGCAGGCCCCGCCGTGCGCCCTGGCCCTGTGGTGCTGCAGGTCAGCACACTGAGGCTGGGGCCGCCAGCCCTGCAGGGTTACACACACACACACACACACACACACACACACACACACACGGCCAGGAGGAGCCAGCCGACCCTGCCCTGCATGCTCCCGCTGGACTGGCCGTATTCCTGAGGGGACCCCGTTGCTCCCAGTGACAGCTGCTCCTGCACATGGAGGCCCTGTCTCTGAAGGTCTCCCCTTCTCAGGCCCCTCATCAGCCCCCATGAGCACTGCCCAAGGCCACACAAGTCGGTGCCTCAGGAATGAACCAGGAGGTGGAGACGCACACAAATCCCAGCCACGTCTGTGTGGTAGGTGCTGACAGTGTCCCCCACCCCTGAGCCAGCACACGGGGGCCCCCCACAGCTTTCCAGAGAGGCTCTTCACGCTCCCGTTCACAGAGCAGGAAACTGAACAGGTGTCCCAGGGCCCAGACACCGGCAGCCGGAGTGTCCGATGCAGGGGCAGTGCAAGGTCTGGGTCTGGCGCTGGCCTTATGGACACGGGCAGGAGGTGTCATGGGAGTAACTGTACCCGGGTCCCCTGAGGCTCAACTCCCGGGTGACAAGTGGGGACCGGAGCTCAGTGCCTCCCACCCCGCTCTACACAACCGGACAAGCCTCCAGGGCATGACCCCAGCACAGCACCAGGTGGCACCCTGGATCGGGTCCCATCCTTGGAGGGGGGTGTCGCGCCGAAACCCACCAACAAGCTGAAGAGCCGCTCACCAATGTCCATGGTGGCCTGCAACTCATGAGACGGGTCCTGCTCTGGCCGCCACCCACCCAGGTCCCCTTCCCTCAATGCCCAGCTCATAGCACACCCGCCCCAGGCCTGCAGGGGAACCGGCCTGAGCTGGGTGGGGTGAGGGGCTCCCACGTTCTCCCTGGAGCTGCTCCCAGGACTTCCCCCCCTTGCTCCCAGCCCAGCGTCCCCCACACAGTCTGCCTGGGGCTTTACGTGCATACCAGTCGCCCCAGCGCTCAGAGCACGGGGCTCGGTGCCCACTGCGTCACCCATCATTGAAACGACGTATATTTAAGTAAGAGATGGGAGAGTCACGCAGGTCGTGTGCACTCGTCACTGGACCAGCTTCCCCTAATGTTGACCACAGGCCACGTTGGAGCTGAAGTGGTGGGCGCTGCCCCTGCCCACAGGCGACCCCGTCGGCCGCCGCCTGCCACTGAGTGTCCCCGCGTTCCACCCGCGCCTGGCTTCTGTCCCAGGCCCCGTGTTGCGTGTAAAGTCCATTTTTTCAAAAGAGAAAAGTATTTTTAATTTGAAAAAAAACTATGAGGAAAATCATAACATTTAATGTAAAACTAAAAAATACCTAAATCAAGAATCTTGTGCCCTGGCCGGTTTGGCTCAGCGGTTAAAGTGTCGGCCTGCGGTCCGGAGAGACCCGGGTTCGGTTCCCGCTAAGGGCACGTACCTCGGTTGCAGTTTGTCCCCGGCCCTGGTTGGTCGTGCGGGTGGCAGCCACTCGATGTGTCCCTTTCACATCGATGTTTCTCTCTCTCTCTCTCTCCCTCCTGCTCTATCTGAACAAAGAATGAAAAAGTGTCCTCGGGTGAGGATAAAAATAAATAAATAAATAAAAATTTAAAAAAAAAAAAAGAATCTTGTGGGTGGGGAGACTTCGCACTCTCCCTAAACGGAGGGACAGGTACGTGCGATCGCAAAGCGAAATCCCGTCTTGCAAAGGGAACTGTGGGATTGGACAGGCGAAGGGAGTTTTGTATAGAAAGGCAAAGGCCCCGATCAGCTGGGACAGACCCATGAAGGGAGAACCAGTGTGGCCCGGCGTGGCCCGGCGTGGTTCAGGGGAGGAAGGCAGAAAGGGCCAGAGCGAGACCCCCAGACATGGGGCTGCACAGAGCTGAGACCGCGCCCTGGAGAAAGAACCAGCTCTCCCGAAATGGGGCCGGGATAAGCGAGCTCCTGGTGGGGAAGCACGACAAACTCTTGTTACAGATTTGGAAATGAGCCCAGCATGAAAATGGGCAAAGGGAAACCAGCCCGCGCCACCCTCTGTCCCGTCAGCAGCCCGTTGTCCCAACAGCGACCACCGTGACCTGAAGGGTGTGGTGGGCTCGCTGGCGTTTCCCCGCCCGTCGCCGCCAACAGCATCTCAGGAGGACAGGGACCCGGACCGGACCTAGACAGTGGCCTGGTACGTAGAAGGTGCTCGACAAATAATGGGCAAAAAATGAATTTAAGACATTTAAGAGATGCATCATGCGCTCAGCCACAAACGAAACCTTGACAAACCCTAACGTCAGAGAGTCCACAGTGAAATACTGAACATTGTTCTTGTCGCTCAGGAATGAGCAAAGGGTGCCCTCTCCCCCTCTGCTGAAGGACCCAGCCATTGCCCTGCATCTAGACAAGACATGAAGGTCGATGACAAAGAAGCAGCGCTATCCTTATTAACAGACGACATGGTCATCTGTGCAGAAAATTTGAAGGAACCTACAAAACCCCTAGTGGAACCGATAGGTGAACGGAGCAAGGTCACAAGAGATTAGTAAACAACGAACAAGTGGATTTTTAGGTATCGGCAGCAAACAGTTGGAATATGAAATATAAAAACAATTTCATCAACAATGCTGACAAAACCAAGTATAACTATATTCTTTTTCTTTAAAAACATTTTTTTCTTTGTTGATTTGAGAGAGAGAGAGAGAAGAAGAGAGAGGGAGAGAGAGATAGAAATATCGAGAGAGAACATCGATTGGCCGCCTCCTACACGCCCCCCACTGGGGATCGGGCCCACAACCTGGGCATGTGCCCTGACTGGGAATTGAACCGGTGACCTCTTGGTGCAGGGTCGACGCTCAACCACTGAGCCACACCGGCCGGGCTATAACGATATTCTTAATAGATGTTCAAGCCTGCTGCACCTAGAACCACAGAATTATTGTCAGAAAGTAAAGGCCTAGCCCTGGCCAGTGTGGCTCCGTGGTTAGAGCGTCGGCCTGCGGACCAGAGAGATCCGGGTTCGGTTCCCGCTAAGGGCATGTACTGCGGTTGCAGTTTGTCCCCGGCCCTGGTTGGGTCGTGTAGGATGCAGCCACTCGATGTGTCCCTTTCACGTCATTGTTTCTCTCTCTCTTCCTCTCTCTCCCCCCCACCCTATCTGAACAAAAAATGAAAAAATGTCCTTGGGTGAGGATAAAAAATAAATAAATAAATACAATAAATAAGTAAAATCAGTGATGAGGCTGGGCCTCAACCCCTGTGTTCGTGTTGCGATCTCCTTGTCTGCGAACTGTCTGCTCGAGTCCTTTGCAGGCTAGTTTCAACAGGGTTGTTCATTTTTTTCTTGTTGGTTGTTCTGTCGCTGGTGGAAACGGGCCCCTTCGTGGAGTTGTGATGACAGCATTTCCGGGAACCCTGCATGGGAGGGTGAAATTCAGTGGTGACATTTTCCTGGGGCTGAAATAATGGCTGCACCAGGTTCCGGACAGTCGACTGTGGAGAAAGTCCAGCCTCGTCTTCGTTAAGCCCACAAGAAAGGCCAGTGTCCAGAAAGCAAAAAAGGAAGGAGATTCAGCTCTGGCTGGTTTGGCTCAGTGATTGGAGCCTCCGCCCACCAACCAAAGGGTCTCAGGTTCAATTCTTGGTGAGGGCAAGTACCTGGGTTACGGGTTCGATGCCTGGTCCCAGTCAGGGTTGTGTGGGAGGCAGCCAGTCAGGGTGTCTTTCTCACACTGATTTTTTTTCCCTCTCTCTCTCCCTCCCTCCTTTCCACTCTCTCTAAACATCAATAGAAAAATATCTTCAGGTGAGGATTCACAAATGAATAAATAAATAAAGGAAGGAAATGCTGACACCTGCCCTGGCCGGTTTGGCTCAGCGGTTAGAGCGTCGGCCTGCAGTCCAGAGAGACCCAGGTTCGGTTCCCGCTAAGGGCATGTACCTCGGTTGCAGTTTGTCCCCGGCCCTGGTTGGTCGTGCGGGTGGCAGCCACTCGATGTGTTCCTTTCACGTCGATGCTTCTCTCTCTCTCTGTTCCTCTCTCTCCCTCCCACTCTATCTGAACAAAATGTGGAAAAGTGTCCTCGGGTGAGGATAAAAAAAAATTAAAAAAAATAAAAAAGAAATGCTGACACCTGCTACAACATGGATGAACCTTGACACTATGATGCGATGTGACTGAGTCAGACAGTGTTTGCAAAAACAGTACGATCCCACTTCTACGAGGTCCCCAAGAAGTCACATCCGCAGAGACAGAAAGCAGATGGTGGCGCCGGGTGGGGGAGGGGAGGGAGCGGTGTCTGACGGGGACGAGTGTCAGTGTGGGGGACAGAAAGATGGGGAGACCACGTGGAGACAGCTGCAGAACCCTGTGACCACACAGCTCAGAAACGTTGGGATGGTAAATGTCACCTGCGCTTCCTCCCGATAGAGAAAGGGAGCATGCCCGTCAGGCTGCAGAGACAGCCGCAACACATGCAG